TATGTTTTGTCAAGACTGTAAAGGTCACTTGTATTATTTTAGTTATGACACATATCTTGAAGAAATATAAGAAATGTAAACATGGTCTTGTGGTTCTAATTACCACCTCGTGTGATTGTATGCATTTACTATTACCAATTGCGTGTTCATGGGTTTAATTTAAACATATTGTAGGATTTCTTATAATATTACAGTTTAGCATTGTATTTTTCTAAAACCACAAGACTTATAACTTACCACAAGAATTTAATAGCGAAAGACTTTGTAAGGCGTCACTTGCCCCCTTCTACACCACCTTCGGTCTACGTGTTACTTATTCATCTATATTTTGATTTGTTTTTCCGCCCACTGCATCTTAGAATAAACGATATCAACAACATTACCGTCTCCTATTAATTTGTCATCCAGTTACCATATTCTGCATGCTTTTAAATTCAATTTTAATGTCACATATCATCATATCCTGTATTTCTAGCGATGATTTTGAATTGCTTTATCTTTTACTAATTATACCTCCATTATAATAGGAACGAAATAATGTTTACAATATTATCTTTGACTATTGATTTCATTTATATAAACCGAATACCTAAACTTCTTTCCAACATCTGCCATCTTTCGAAGTTTGAGTCCTCCATACTACTTCTTCTCTACGATTCTCGTAAATACTTTTACGAACAAGTATGTCCATGGTTTTATTATTTTTCCTTATTTTGGTTGTCTTTATTATCCTCCCTACTTCTCATTCTCTTACACTTCTGATGTACCTTATGTTACAGTTCTTCATTACCTTTTACTTTTAAATTGATTTTTTTTTATGCTTATATGACATTAACAATCGAAAGGGATAACAAAATATAAGACTCTGCCATTTAATCAGTTTAATAAGTTCAATATTTATATTTTTGTCTTCTTGCACATCTTCCATCACGAAAACACTAGCAAAAACATCATAAAAACGATTGTTATGTTTCTATTTTTGGATGTATGTCTCTTTTCATAAAATGGCATCAAATAACATCCTACTTTTTTTACACCTTTTGTCTATAATCGTATGTTATTCCCATGGTTGACTTTTATTTGGATCAATTTTTGTATAAACGTGACTATATGCCTTTCTTCTTCTTGTGTGCCCTTTAAAGGATCAAATTCTAAAAAGAAAAAAAAAAAGAAAAAATTTGGGTCTGCTTGTATATCTAACCTCTATACAAGGGTTGAGATATTTGTTTTTTTTTCGATAAGGTGTAATGTTTGGGTTTAAATGGTTTATCTATGGCACATTTGATATTAACTCAAAAGAAACCTAGAAATTACAGTTGATACATTTTAGATTAAACTCAAAGTACATTGATATTAACCAAATATGTTCATAACAAAATGCATAGTATGTTGTCATAAACTTATAATTCCTTACTATTAGTACAAATTAAAAAATAAAAGAAAATAATAATCAAGTAGAATGTTATTTGTTCTATGAACAAAGGGACCAAATTCTACACAATTTTATTAACACATGGGCCATTATGTAATTTTTTTTAACATAGGGACTGTTTTGAAAATTTAGTTACACAGGGGCTGTTTTGTCGATTGAATAACTAAGGACCAGATTTCACTTAATTTATTAAGACATGGGATGTTTTGTAAATTTAGTAACATGTGGGTTATTCTGTCCATTGCTTAACATATGGAGCTATTATGTAATTTTTAGCAACGTACTATGAAATACATTAACATAGGGAGCTAATTTGTAATTTGTTGAAACTAAAATTATATCATTGAAAGTTTGTAACACATGGGCTGTTTTATAAATTTAGTAACACGGGGATTGTTTCTCATTTCTTTCAGTAACACATGGGCCAAATTTCACACAAATTATATGTTATTTTCAACTACTGACTTTTATTTGGATCAATTTTTGTATAATGGTGATTATATGTATTTCTTCTTCTTCTGTGCCCTTTAAAGGGTAACAAAAAAAAAAAGAAAAAAAAAACATCTGTTTGTATGTGTTATGGTTTGTGTGTTTTTTGTGGGTCTTGTGTATTTTATGTTTCGTGAAAAGCATATCAACTTTAGGGGGCGAAATGTTCTCTTCTGCCTTCATTTTTTTTATTTTATGATAATAACATAAACTTAATGAAAGAATATCCAGGCAAAGTTTATTGCTTTGTTGTCTTTTGATACCTGAAAAAAAATAAAAAAAAAATAAAAAAAAAGGTCTAAATGAATATGTTTTATTCAGGTGTTAAATAAGCTCTACTTATGGGTACAAGATCCAAACACAAAGGCTTTAAGCACCATCTCCAAAGATTACATAAATATCAACGAATATTGAAAGATGACATTTTACCATCTTACATTCCACTAAGTTCAATTCATTTTGTCATTGACAAGTTTACTAAATTGCTTACTTTCTGGGTGATTTTATATCAGACCATCTTTTATATGAAACTCTTTTATGCTATCACACATATTACTATCAGAAAGTAAATTAAATAACTAATGAATTTTTTCCTTTTCAACAACTTTTGCATATGGACTTGGTAGTTGGAAAACTTACACCATGACAAGGATAATCAAGTAGGGGTGGCAGATATATACCATGATGGGGATAACAGAGTAAATGATTAAGTTTGGTGATTTCCAGGTGGCTGTCAAAATAAACTCTATACATATAGTCTGTTTGTGAAAATGCCTATGTAAATGTTTGTTGAAACTAAAATTGTATGCTTGAAAGTTTATATCACTAATCTGTGTATGTAAATATTGTTATATGTATCTTCATTTTAATAGGTTTTTTTTTCTTTTTTTTTTGTGCATGCTTCGTGTTCTCTTTAATATGTTATGTTGTACAGGGGTAAAATTGTCAAAATTGCCATCAACACTCTAAAGGGTTAACCGGATGAACAACAAAGCTTCGACTTGTGTTTGTTGATATGTGTTTCGATAAGGATTGTAGACTATCATATAAAACATCCAATGTTGTGTATAAAACAATTTTAGAAATTTATAAAACCTTTGTACAATTTTATTATTTATATAGATTTCAATTTCTGTTTTATTTATATTTATATTGCATCCCACAAAGTTATAATTTTCTAACATATCTACATATACAAAATGCTAGGGGTAGAATTGGTATGATACCGATTCTTTTTTTCCTAAACCGTGTACCATACCAACTATAGTTGGAATAAAAATTTTGTTACCAGTACCGTACCAAATACATTTGGTACCAAATACACTTGGTACCAATATGTTTGGCTACCAACAAGTTTGGTCGATACAAATTGGTAATGGTAGATACAAACTTCTTTTAATTTTTTTTTTTGTAAGATTTAGACTTCAACAAAAACATTGGGTAATTTTGACATTTAGTTAAAAAATAGTTACGTAGAACTTTTAATTTACAAAAGAATTCTACTGAAGTAAAACTAAAGTAACGTTTTAATTTTCTGTTTTAACGTGGTGATAACTATCGACTAATTAATACGCCCAAACATGTTCGTTATCAAATATATTGGCTACTAACTTTCTTGGTTGGTTGGTAACATGTTGGTTGATTTTTCCGTGATATAATTTTGTCAGCCCTACAAAATGCCAATTGGATATTCAAACCATTGTCATTTCCTAATTTCAACCGATAATTATGTCATTATAATATTATGACAAAACATATATACTTATTATTTATTATAGTTTTTATTTTCAGTTCTCCATAATTAAGTTCTAATTTAATTAAAATTATTTTTAAATTATTCATCCATTGTGCCCACATATTATAACCACGAGCTGATCCGTACACAACAATTTTTCTCCATACAGCTATATACTATACTCTTTCAAAACATAATTGCTATGTAAGGTATCTTGTAATCAGGTCCTAAGAAAACCGTTTTTTGGGAGACTTTAAACCCACATAATTACTCATTTAATTACTATGTAATCAACACATAATTACTCATTTAATACTTGTTATTTCAAGACTTTAAACCCACATTTACTATTTTAAATTTTATGGACCTAATTGCAAATCTTAGGTGTAGCTGTGTTGGAGGAAAACCTTATGGGCCTATCAGATTTCGAGCCAGGCGACCTATCTTTGGGCCGGTCCTGTAAACAGTAAACCTACATCTAATATATATACATACATTACATTTACCTAGGCCTCCATAACCAACATCCAATAGCAAATCAAGAGAACCGTATATTGAGAGACTTATCCAATCGCAAATTACAGGTTAACCACACTATAATAATAATGTTAGAATGTTTTAATTTGATGACAACACTATAAAAATCGTTGCTAAACATTTTTCTTTTTCTTTTTGAACATAGATTTTTTAACTAAAAGTCAACACGAAGCTGGATAAATAATACAAAATACATAATCAAGGGTTACACCAAGAGAATCTTCACTTGTGGAATTGGTCGAGGAAACAAGCTTGAACAAAACAATGAAGTTTGAATCTCTCACCAACATAGCGTCCTACTTTTAAGGTCCATGCAGCTTGAGTTAGGACCACGGGTAGACATCATCACGGAAGCATCAGGGGCAAAATAGTCCAAAAAAAAATGGGACTAAATTTTAGAATAACATCCATTCAATTTTCACCATTTATGGGTATACCTATCACCAATCGTTGAGTTGTTAAGAACATATGGACATAGACATAAATTTGGCATGAATGTCGTTCAAAGAACTTAATTAAGTGAAAAAAAAAAAAACTTTAAAGGAATAAAAAATTTATGAATTCATCATTAAGATGTAAGGAAGGTAATTTTTTCCAAACATAATTATCTGGATTTGCATGAAAAATCTTTTAAAATTAACTGATCAAAATTCAGAGGAAATAAAGAGACTTTTGTTTAAAACAAATTTCCATTTAAATAAAACATGCATTAGAAATCACAACGTTTATCGAACTACACAGACTCCAACTTATTCATTTCGTGATTGCGGAATCCATCAACAATGCATTCGATCATTTCGATTATTTTTAAAGAACTGGAATCAACCGGATCTCGATAGCATCAATGGTGACATTCTTGCCGGGTGTCCTCGGCACAATTGTCACCCGAATAAACTCATCCCCCTCAGCTTTTGTTTCCTCCAACAACTCTGTTAACGAAAACCTCATCCCAGACTTGCAACCCATTGCCATGCCTTTAGCATGTGGAACAGCCGCGAAAGAACCCACATTCTCACTATCACACGGGGTGATCTGTTCTTCGTCACAATCATTCACAAACACGTCAAATTTTGCAGACTCTGTACAATCGAAACTGATTCCAATGAAGCACAAGATCTCTTTTTCACTTTTCTTTTGCTCAGCGTTCCTGTTTTTAGAAGCAGGAGGCCTCTTTACTCGAAGCCTCACAGTGTCGGTTAATGTCAACTTTTCTGGCGGGTCCTTCTGATATGGGAAGTCCTTTGTGTTGTTTCTCTTCGGGTAATCGGGTCTGTTGCAGCGTGATCTTGGTGGTCTATCCGTCCATGGAGTGGCTGAGCTGTGGTATTCGTATTTAAGCTTGCTCAAATCCACCGATTGTTTGTTGTAGACACGTAGGGGATTTTGTTTCTCATCGTAAAACACGTATGACGCGTCTTCCCAGTCAGTATCTGTCGGTTCTTTGCCTCCCATTTGCTTCCAAAGAGTCCACATTCGGTCCACATTAGAATGGTGGACGTAGAACAAAGGATCATACCCCGCAGAGTAGAAGTTGCCCATGTCCTCCTTATTCCCATTTGGATCAGGGTTCCCAACCCATCTATGAACAGCCGTATGACAACCAGCCTCCACGGATCCAACTACATTATCTCCTCGGGGAATGGGCTCATCACCAGCTACATATTTGCCACCGAAGAAGCTTGTTGCATCAAAGGCGTTGCGCATCATCTGCCTATTCATAGTAGCCAGATTGATTTCTTTCTGATCGTAACAAAGGTCGCGGTTTTTCCCTGAGTAGTCAAGATCGATCATTTCATACCTGATGTGACTTTTGTCCCGATACACATCATACAGAGGGTTTTCTCCGTTTTCGACCTTGTAGTTGTTACACTGTTTCTCTACGAAGAAGTGTGGAATTGTCATTCCTTCAGGGTTGTCCCAGTTCCAGTAGGGTAACCCGAATGTCTGATCACCAATGAGATCTCCCAGTATCCTCTCGTAGAAATAAAGGTACCAACGATGGAAGGGAAAGAAGAGCCAGGAGTTGTGAATCTGGAGTTCTTTATTATTTTGTGTGTAACTGCCATTGCAGTAAGCGCAATGAACTTTAGCTTGGTTATTGAAACTGCGTGGGTCGCTGTCTGGGAGATCCCTCATTTTCTGAATCGCATCCATATATTTATCTAGATACCCGAGTGGAAGTTTGTGTAGTGGATATCTGATTCGAGTTTGGCTTGATTCATCAGGGAACTTGAAATCACTCTCCGGGACATTTTTGGACAGAGGGCAACAGTCAATAGGTCTAAGTAGCTTTTTATTAATGCTGTCGAAGCCGGATACGGCATCTTTGCATGGTCGATCAGGCTGATTGAACGGAGCCTTGATAGCTTCTGCAAAGGCCGGTGGCAGACCGGACAAGCTGACGGTGCTGTAGACTCCGCCGAGACCCAGGAGCAAATTCCTTCTGTCGACGTTCTGCAAGTCGAGTGATGTTTGTGGTAGTATAAGTTTTTGTGGTTGAGGGTTTGTGGTGAGTGGTTTTTCATGGTTATTTGATGAGACGTTGCGTGAGACTTGGAAGCGATGGGTTTGCTTACCATGTGTCTTCAACCGTCGTTGTTTGGTGGTTGTTTGTGAAAAGAACGGGGAGGAAGAGGTGGTGGGGGTGGCTAAAGTAAAGTTCAAAGAAGCCATGTTGGTTTGGTGTGCTTCATACTCCTTTCGGCTTTCCCTTTTATAGACACATTCCTTGTACATTCTACGAAACCACAAAGGAAAGAATGTTAATTATTAAAGGGTTGTTTATATGAAAAGACAAACATGTCAGCATATCTACAGTCTCTCTTGAAAAAAAAAATTTCGAAAAAAAAACGTTAGGGTATCAACCAGACACTCCTTATCTAAATCTAGGAATCTATGAATGACTTCAAAACGAATGTAAAACGGATAAACCTACATACGGGTAAACAAGTGGTTATTTCTTTATTTTTGTCACCAAACGTTTTTTCGAGCACATACAGCTGTTTCAGTTCCTGAACCTAGCTAAGGTTTTTTATCTTCTAATTTTATACTACAGATTAGAAACCGGTAAAGAGGTAGGGATGTATATGGGTCGATGATGGGTGTAGTGCAGCAATCCCATAAATATTTTTTATCCATTCATTAAATTTGAAGCCGTAAAAATATGTTATAACACTTTTCACCGCTTCTGAATCACTTGTAACCCTGCTTCAACTATGAATTGGGGACGTCAACTCGCCAATCTGGGCATATATAGGAGGGAGTTCGATTGTGGAAATCAATTAGATCGTTCTTAGTAGCTACAACATTTTCTATATATATATATATATATATATATATATATATATATATATATATATATATATATATATATATATATATATATATATATTAATGGTTGTTGAAGGAGATGTTAATCCCCGCTTGGGAAATAAATGGTATTTATTATAAATATATTAGATTTATGTTTAAAAATAAGTTTAAAAATAAGGTATTAAGAACTAATAAGTTATCATCTATCTTAATAAAAGAAACCTTTTGATGACATGTCATTCCCACAGTTCATTTTTCATTGATTGTTAAATTACTTTAATACCCTCCGTTAATTTACATTTCGTATTCGTATTCCTTTATTGCATACCCTCCTATCTTAAATCAATTTTTAAAAATCTATTTGACTTTTTGAATTTACGTTTAGAAAGGTTGAAAATACGAATCCCATAAATTTCTCTCCATTCACTTCTCAAAGTTTGTATTATGTTCCTTCATCTCCGTCTTCTATCTCGCGAAACCCTAAATCACCACCGCCACCATCCTAAGTTTCAAAGAATTGAAAAAGGAAATTGCTTCCATTTTATATATCTGTTTTTGAGGTTATTCGATTGTGATTCTACCACCCATCTCTAAAAGTCATTGTTGGACAAACTATTTGAAATATTTTGCTACATGGAAGGAATTTATTCCATTATGATGAAAAATCAGCAACCAATCGTCTCTTATTTTGAATATGATATCTACATATATGCCTATAAGTACTACATGTGTATTATCGACAACTTGTGTTTCTTTTTATCAAGCATTGTCGATTTCAATATTTGAGGTTAGTATATGTATCTTTCGTTTTCTTCGATTTATATGTATATGTCTCTCTTTCTCCAGTTATATATATGCTCTATCAATTTACCCTTTCTTCCTTCCTAATCTTCTTAAATCGGTACTTTTAGGATCATGTAGCATAAGGTATTTCCTGATCCATCTATGGTATTATTCTCTTCTTCCTTTCAATAGAATTTTTCTGGCATCTATTTGTACGAAACCTGTTATGTGTGTAACGACCCAAAACTTAAGGGTAAAAATTTCATTTTAATATAGCTAAAACATTGATACCATTTATCTCAAACATTTCAAATCATCATTAAGTAAAACATATATCCGAGTTCCTCCCAAAAACATTCGTTGCGGAATCCATAAGTGTGTGCACTGCGATCAATCCGAGCCATTCTTTTTCCGAATCGATGATACCTGAAACCAAAACTGCAAACCGTAAGCACAAAGCTTAGCGAGTCCCCCAGAGCATACCACACACACAATCCACATAACACATATCATATTAGCTATAAAAGTTATCTCTACCGCATACCACATATCATACTAGCTATAAAACAGCTATACATATCACATATGCCATGCATACAATATATAAGGAAGCCATGGAAACCTTCCAAGGTCTTACACCGAACGCCACGGGAAACCCCCACGTAGTCTTGACTAGCCGCCACTGGAACCCCCACGTGGTCTTGGTAATTGCCGCGGGAACCCCCCACGCGGGCTACACAAGTCATGCAATATCATACGAGCTAACAAATCAACATTCTAAGAATCCCAGGAAACCCTCCAAGGACTTATACTAGATGCCATGGGAACCTCCACATGGTCTTAATTATACTGCCTCGGGAACCTCCCAGGGTCTTTCATAGAAATGTTCTAACGACATATCACATATCCAACTATCACGCCATGGTGCCTTAGACCCATTCGTATGGTGAGAAGACTCACCTCGAATGCAGAAGCTTCCTGAAAGAAATCCTTAGCTACTGCCCTGTCCACTTCCTGAGCTATCAATATTGATCAATATACCCAAATTAGCAATTCGGTCCCATCTATAATCCTGGCACAGTATGATCCAAAACTAAGGCCCAATCCCAAAACAAAAGCCTGGCACTATAATGTCTATAAGTCCTTTAATGGCCCAATTTCTAAACTGGGCCCAAACCCAATAGTCTACAACTAAATATCAACCCCAAAACTTGATGGCCCAACAGGGCCCAAAACAAAAGGTCCAAACCATAAAATCCATTAAGGCCCATTAATGACCCAATTTTCCAAATTGGGCCCAAACCCTTATTGGACCCTATCCTAAAGTCCAAACATATTCTTGGCCCATATTATCTGACTTCTGATGGCCCACTATGGCCAAAAGACCCGAAGTCCAAAGCATGGCACAACCCGAGGCCTAAAACACTCCAAGCCCACAAGTGATGAGTACGCGGGGAGTACTCCTCTATACGCTAGCGTACTGGTTGAATGGAGTGTACGATGCGCGTACCTGCATGTACGCCCAACGTACTCCTCTATTAAGCCACTTTTCCCATTAAGTGCTTAATAATCCACTCCAGAAGCTACAAACACAGATCCAAGTCCTTTTCAACGTCTTAAACCATAAAGTCCCTCACTTGGTGGCTTGCAACCCACCAATAGAGCCCAAACTTGTAATGTGACAACTAACTTCCATGGAAATGGTCTTAACTCATGCATGAACCCATTAAGACCTCCAAGATGGCAACCTTCTGCCTTAGGGACTCATTTAACACTGAGAGTGGCAACTCTAAGCCTAAGAATCGGATTTTTACCATAAAGTTTCATCCTTGGGACCAAAATGAACTAAAACTGACAAATGAGAGATCTAAGAGATGAATGATCAAGATTAAAGCTTTATACCTTCATTAAGCTGAGAATGAGTCCCAAAATCTAGATCCATAAGCTCCTCCTTGATTCCATCTTTGCAACAAGCTTCACCTTCTTGAAAAATGCACCATAAACCACCCAAAATGCACCCACAAAGCTCAAAACACTCTTGGATGAAGATACCACTCGAAATTAGGGTTTAAGGCTCTGAGAGTGAAAGGGAGGCGCACCCCCATGGACTTAAGGTGCTTAAATAGTGAGTCAACCCTAAAAATTAGGGTTTTGGAGATCCTGGACGTACGTTGGGCGTACTCCCTGTACGGTGGGCGTACGTCCCTCGTACCCGCGATTCATTAATCAGCACTACATTGGGCGTGCCCCAGCTTACGCTGGGCGTACTTACCTGGCTGCCAGCTTGCATGCATGGGCTGAAATGCAAGTTTTTCCATTCAAGGACCAATTTTGCCAACAACTTCAAAACACCATAACTTCTTCGTTCTAAGTTCGATTCCGATGAACTTTATATCCACGAAAAGGTGGAAAGAATCCCTACGCTTCTAGCTACACCCGAAGCCTTAAAACCTTTCGAATAAAACCCGAGACCCATAAAATACCGAATCGTCAGATTACGCTTATACCCTTGGCCTCCGAAGACACAATCGAACACTTTCTAAACTGGGTGTTACAACTCACCCCCACTTAAATTAGATTTCGTCCTCCAAATCACTCCTTACCATTCCTACACCAAATAATTCGAGCATTATGGCCACAGCCCCGAGCATACCATAGCCTTTCCAAGGCAATCGAAACCAAACCTCGTAGGGTTCTAGAACCCAAAGATGAACGAATTTCTTGCAACTTGCTCACATCTGCTTACCTTAAGAACCACCGGGACCTCCCTGGTCCTAATTGGTTTGCTAACTGTCCGGAACAACGGGCACCTACCCGATTGCTGAACCTACCAGCAACCACACACTCGCCCTACGCGACCTCCGAAGCGACCTCGTCTAGCAGTAGTTGCCCTACTGCAATTCATGACTCCGTCAATCCTTCTGACACATCCAATCATCGTAACTCGACAACCTCTCGCCACTAAATCCAATACAATAGGTCGTGCTACCCGAATACGGTAGTCTTCCGTCATTCCCATTCTCCTTCATTCTGCCATTTCCTGATTCCAACATGTTGTGGTCCTATTACTGATGGAACCAGCCCGAGACACATCATGATGGCTTAAGCTACCATCGAGCCAAACTCATTTATTACCCTGATAACCTGTATTTGATGCCCTTGACATCCTTAAGCTCCCAAATCTCATTTCACTGAAACAAAATCATGTACTAAATATGCGCGACCCCGATTCGGAATCCTTTCCGAGATGAGTCGATACCTTGCTACTACCTCGAGACTACCAGTCTCTCACCCGGTCCAACCACCAGGTTCCCAAAAGATCAAATATCAGGACAACCCAACCGTAGCCCTACTGCGTCACGTACCACTTATCCACAAGATCCTGCAACTTCAAGATCCACACCCTTGACTCAACAGTCTCTACCAGTTCCATTCCGAATTCCCATGACCATCCGGCCTCGCCCACGGATAACCGATCGGATGATCACCTCCGATCCTGATTCTACCTAAGCTGTGGCTTCCCCACAACCTTGCGAACTGGTCTACCCTAGCCCCATTCTTCCGAAAGAAATCGTGGATGCTACGGCTACCCCGTAGTCTTACAACACTTCCCATGCTATCTGAGCATTAGTAAATGCTAC